CCCCGGCGCTTGTTCGTGGGCGTTCAGTCCCTGCTCTTCTTTTCATTCTGCAGTTGAGGTCGCATCACTTACATCTTACAAAATAACTTTTAAAATGTCTCGCTGAACGCTGAAATGCCTCAGGAATAACCCTTTATATCTTAAAGAAAAGAGATGAAAAAACAGTTCACTGCTTAACCATCCGTTACTTTTCAAACCACTGCAAATAGTTGATTTTCCTCCTTATTGCAAAATTGTTTTCAGTCTTCCTCTTAAACTCTTGGCAGTATTTACTGTTTGTTGTTTTTTTAAGTCACTCGTCATTACTGTTGACTTTTCTGTTACTCTGGAATTTGTTGTGTCTTGACAGCCTCCAGGCCTCCCTGGCTCCCAGAGCCCCGCATTCACCGCCCTGTGCCCATTCTCAGTAGCTCCTGCTGGAATCTTCCTCTTCCTGCTGCTCAGTTGTTGGTATTCCCTAAGGTTCTCTCCTTGCCACTTACCCGTTCTTTTATCTTTTCATTTTACATTTCCTCCCTTAGTAATATCACTCCCATTTTAGTTACTATTTATTTTACTTAATTACTTAAGCGCTTAGTTTACTTTATATCATCTGGGAATAATTCCATATATATATATATATGTACATACACACACATATATATGTACACATATATGTGTATGTATATATAAATTCTTACCCCCAACCCACATCCTGCATATGCAAGTATCTTTGGACAACTCCAAATGCATTCCTCCTCCTGCAGGCCTCTCAAACTCAAACTAAATTTGTCATCTTTCCGACTGCTCCTATAATTTCTGTCTTTGTTAATGGCAGCACCATGGACATTGTGTCAGACAGAACCTAGTCAACCTACCATCCATCTCCCTGTCTTGTCTTATGTGTAACCAATCACCAATTCTTTAAACTATTTCCTCACCATTTTTCATGTTTGACTCCTCTTTCTTCTTGTTACCTTAACACCTCTTTTCAGGTTTTTCTGATCTTGTGCTTGAACTAGGGAAGAACTGGGAATCAGTGCATCCAGTTTCATATACCTTCAATCCATTCTTTTCATTGCAACCCAGATGGTCTTCCAGAAATACAAAATTGACTCTTTCCTCATGTTTAAATCCTTCATTGATTTCATTTTAACTCTCAAGTGTAGTTAAAATATTTCAGTATAGCATAAGATGTCCACCTTAACTGGCCAGTTTTGTCCTTTGCTGAAGATCTTCCCTCTTCAGCTCCACACCTCAGCCACATATATTACTTAAAGTTCCCCCCAAACACAAAGTTACTTAAAACCTCGTGGTTTTCTTCTTATGTGTCCTTCTGTGTTGCCAGAACTTTGAACACCCCCGACTCATGATTCCATAACCTGTGGGACATTTTAAAATCAACTCAACTCAATGACACATGTGGACACATCTTTTTCTTTTTTTTCAAACTGTTCTCTTTTCAAATAACTTTGAGATTTTCTTCCTTTCTCCTACTAAATGTTTCTTGAGCTCTTCTACTCTAGAAGGTAGAAAAAACCAAGCCCTCAGTTATGTCTGCACATGCTTCTGCCATAGCACCTTAGTATAGGTTAGTTGAGAATTATATTAGAATTTAAGTTTCCTTGTAAACAGGGATCGTCTTGTATTTGACATTGTACCCTCAGTACTGAGATAACATGACCCGGAACATAAGTTTATCTCTCATTTTTACTTTCTGTCCTCTCGATTCTTTTGCTTTTTTTTTTTTTTTTTTTGAGACAGAATCTCACTGGGTATGTCGCCCTGGGTAGAGTGCTGTGGTGTCACAGCTCATGGCAACCTCCAACTCTTGGGCTTAAGCTATTCTCTCACCTCAACCTCCCAGGTAGCTGGGACTACAGGCGCCTGCCACAACACCTGGCTTTTTTTTGTTGCACTTGTCATTGTTGTTTAGCTGGCCGGGTGGGAACCCACCACCCTTGTTGTATGTGGCTGGTGCCGTAACCACTGTGCTACAGGCACTGAGCCTTTCTGGCATTTTTTAACGCAAACATGATTGTTACATTGCCATTATAAGAATCTGGAAATAAATGAATATATGAATTCTAAAGAAAAAGTAAACGTTGACCACTCAGTATGCCACAGCATTATGTTGAACTGAATGCCCAAAATGTGGTCAAAAATTTTTAGAGTGATTTCTCCTGTTATTTTTAACAGCAAAAGTATATCAGGTATATTTACCTAAGAAATAATTAGACTGCTCTAGTGACATTCCTCTAAATAATTTGGATTATCACAAAAAGCTGAAAACAAGCTATCATGCATGTAGGGTAAGGTAATGCTTTCCAGACACTCCTTTGTAACCTCCACTCCCACTGTTTCAATTTCCATTTCTCACAAAGAGGCTTCCAGATGCTGCAGTTAGTGTTTTATCTTTCTCTGCTTCTCTCTCCACCCTCCAGGCTCAGCAGAACTTCTCTGTACACGCTGTTCCTGATTGTGCTGATCACTAATCCTTGAGAGAGTTCCTGGCTCCAGTCAAAGGTGAAAAGTGAAGTTATGCACAAGCCACTCAAAACCACAGCCCTAACAACTGGCTCTTCATACGGCTTGCTGGAGGAAAACACTTTATATCCTATTACACATATCCTGTGGCAAAAAAACTGGACATTCCTACTGTTGCCACTTAGCTTCATGTCAAAGAGGCTGGAAATCCCCTAACAGTTTACCAGGTGGTTTAGTTAAAAAAAAAAAAAAAAAAAAAGCTGTTATTAGTAGATCTCAGGTAGAGGACCATTCAGTGAATAGAAAGTGAATGGAAAAGTTTAGTAGGGGAAAGGAAAAAAATCTGAAAGTTATTTGAAAAAGAAAAAGAGAAGAGAACAGGTTTATTTGTTTTTTTCTTTTTCTTTCTTTTTTTTTTTTTTTTTCATGAAAGATGTGTCCAGATTTACAGAGGTGAAGAAAACCTGGATCTGGTCAGAGGGAAAAGGACATATGAAGGTACAAGCACTGAATGTGTCTCTCTAGTGTAGACTAACACAAAACTGCTGAACAGAGCACTTTAGGAATTCTCTGAGAATGTGATACTGAAAGGAACTCACATTTTGGTATATCTGTGATATACCAAGTATTTTGCATGTTTATCACTCTTAGTGCTCATAGCTAGCTTATAAAGGAGATTTTGTTACTTCTATTTGATATTTGTTCAAGTTAATATGAATAAATGTGCATAAAGTATATAAAACAATTCCTGGTACATAATAAGCACTATATACATGTTTGCTATTATTAAAATTTTATAAAGAATGTGAGGCCCCAGAATGCTTAAGTAACTTGTCCAAGACCACACACAGATGGCAAGTGGCATACCTGGTTTAGCCCTAGAACTGAGTCCTATTTATGTTACGATGTGAGGTCATTTCAGCTAGAACTCAGGTCACATTTCTGCTTTAAATTGGCTGAGTGGCCTATGAAATTAGACCTGTCTCTACATGTGTGAATTATGGAACTGAATAGAGCTGAGAAAAAATACGTCATAGGGTGAATAATTGAAAATAAAATAAGATGATGGCTAAATGTAACTAAAATTAACTATTTTTATAAAGCATTTCAATCCTCTCATTAATATTCTGAAATCAATAGAGTGAGAAGGAATGGGGATTAGGTGTAATTGAATCTGAGGCCACTATTTAGATCAGCGGTTCTCAACCTGTGGGTCACAACCCACAGGAACTGTATTAAAGGGCTGTGGCATTAGGAAGGTTGAGAACTGCTGATTTAGATTATCCAATCACAGAATTTCAGCCCTAAAAGGACTTTAAAAAGGTTTTGCTTTAATCACTGTTCAGTTCACTTCACAGATGATAGAACTAAACAGTTGATGTTGACGTGACTCCCCCAAAGTCTCATGTCAAGATGCAAAATTATAACAAAATATGAGGGTTAATTTCTCTGCACAAATAGCTTCCTCTAAAACCCTGAGTTCAAAACTACTAAAAAGAGCCTTTGTAAATAAATCTAAATGTACAAATCAGATGGTAAAAAAACAATGCTTGATTTGGTGTTTGTGGGAAAGTGGGAAGGGGCAGGGGTGTTGCTTTAATTGTGCGTACAGTTTCACCTTTGTGATACTATAGCTGCATGGAAAAAGCAAACAACACACCTCCAGCAGCAGACCACTGCGCTAGTAATAGATTCTTAAAAACACCAAACATCTGTGTATTGATTGAGTTTAAATTTCCAGATGTTCACATATGTGATATTAAGTTATGGAAATTACCCAGTTACACATCACTGTAAATCATGAAAACATTCCCCTCTTTCCTCCATGTTACACATTCCCAGGAGAGGTAGCTCATCTTGTCCATTTCTAGAGGGTCCTGGTCTATTTGGACTCTAGGAGACAGAGTACCTGTGTGCCCAGGCTCTGACCGCCGGGTTGCAGCAGAGGCTCGAGAATAAAGGCTTATGGTGGTGTCCCCATCATCATCCAGCATGTCCCTCGTGCTGCTGAACTTGGCCTGCATCGGGTTCCTGCAGGGGTGAGGGCAAAGGATGCGGTGGTCAGATGGCCCCAAGCTGCCCGGCTTCTGTGAGCTGGTGCAGGAAACAAGGCACTGAAAGGCATTCCTGATGTTCTTTCCCGGCAAGTAGCAGGGGAAATCTCTGACTCCAGTTCCTGCCTGGAGAGGCCCAGCCCCTCTCTCCTGTGAACTTGTACTCTGAATGCTGAACTGGTCAAGCTGAGGGGAAATAGTGCCTGTTTTCTGTAGGGGCGGTCTCTGAGCAGTTATCCAGGGTTGCCCTATTCAGATCTCTTTTGTTTATCTTATTTTCACTTCTCCAGCAACTACAGTGTAAAGAAAGCAAATCCCTGTGGTTCCTTCAGACTTTGTAGGTTGATGACCCAGCAGGGGGACATTTATCCCAGTCTCTTACCCTCAAACACCAAATCACTTTGATTACATTTAACCTCTCTGTGCCTTTGGGAAAAGAGAAGAGACTGTGGACACAGCGTCTTTCTTTCTCGGCAGGCAGAGTGTTAACCATCATATACAGGAAATGTCAGCACAAGAATCCTCCTGAGAGCCTCTGATTGATTCCACTCTCATTTTACAGAAAAGGCAGATTGAAGCTTAGCGAGGTGAAGGGATTGGTCCAAAGCCACTTAACTGAGTGGAGACAGAATGAGCTCTAAAAGTGCTCTCTTGTCAATTTAATGATCTTTCTTTTTATAGAATCTAGACTTGATTTAACATTTTATAGCACAGTTGGTACATCATGATCTTAAGAACTTACACATTTTACTGCAAGTCAGAACTTTTAAAACTATTTCTAACCACCATGTGGCTTTGTAAAGCTTAACAATTTGTGCCTAGTTTCCTAAACTAAGAAAGACGTGAGAATATTGTTTTAGGTAATGTCTAAAAATTATTTCAGAATAAGTACAATAAAATTATATATTGTACTAAAATTTTTCTAGATATTGGGTGTTAGCTGGGCAAAGTCACGCATGCGAACTATACAGGAGTGTGGGAAATTGTTGAGTTGGGGCAGCAAGACCCTATAATAGATCTGTCGGGAAGTATGTACTGTGGATTCATGTTTCAAATGGGGAGCTGTTTATCACATTATTTTAAATTTAAAAAAATAAACTTTAAAACATCTTTATCTTGCATAGTGCCTTACAAAACAGAAAATAAAAAATGATTCATCCATTTGCATTTGGTTGAGTATTTTTTTTTTATTAAATCATAGCTGTGTACATTAATACTGTCATGGGGTACAGTGTGCTGTTTTTATATACAATTTGAAATATTTTCATCAAACTGGTTAACATAGCCTTCATGTCATTTTCTTAGTTATTGTGTTAAGACACTTATATTCTTGGTTGCAGCCATCATTGTTGTTTGGCGGGCCCAGGCTGGATTTGAACCCACCAACTTAGGTGTATGTGGCTGGCGCCTTAGCCACTTGAGCCACAAGTGCTGAGCTGACATTTATATTCTACATCTAGAAAGATTCACATAAAAGTATGGAACACTTCACAAATTTGCATGTCATCCTTGGACAGGGGCCATGCTAATCTTCTCTGTATCACTTCGGCAGCACATATACTAAAATTGGAACAATATAGAGAAGATTAGCATTGGGTTGAGTATTAACCAGCAGTATAGGAAAAAAGAAAGCAGTAAAAAATTTTAAAGAGAAAATATGTAAAGAACATATGAAAATGAAACAAAAAGATAGGATGCTACAAATTGTAACAGTGGCCAGGTGAGCTGGCTCTTGCCTATAACACTAGTGGTCTGAGATGTGGAGGCAGAATTGGTTGATTGTTACACACAAGCAAAATAGTGAGTAGCCAAAATTTCTTTAATAAGCATGTTTTTATCAAAATGAAATTCATATGACATAACACTATCCATTTGAAAGTGAAAATTCAGTGAAACTTAACAAAATTTCTGTTTACATACATAGTATTCATCAACATGAGAGGACTATAAATGACTCCCCAACCATATAGAAATCTCCACTAAAAATAAAAATAGTACCAGTGGGAAAGTTTGGGAAAAAAATGAGACAAATTATCACATGAGGTAACACCGTTATATTCCAATCATACATTTTTAGAGTAATTAGTAAGGAATTGGTGAAAATTGCAGAATAACACATTGTAAAAATAATAAAGCATGTTTTGCATTTCAGAATGTTAACTACTTCTGCCAATGAGATTGGTTGCTTTTTTATATTCATTATCAGATTTGATGGATTGAATGATACTATCTAAAAAAGGAGAAAACTTCTATATAAGAGCAGTTTCCCTACAATTTCATATTATACAGGATTTTATTAGAGATATGGTAGATGTACTCTCTGAGCCATTTATTGATAAATAAAAAGTTAGAGTCTCTTCTTTTTGATGATGGTAATCGTAATCATGATTGTACTGATGAAAGTAATAAAATGGCTCTGATCGTAGTGAAGACTTTTCTTCCCACTTCTTCACTGGCTATTTGAAAGTGTATTTTGCCCTCCACATGTCTGACATACTACTAGAAATTGAGGAATAAGTCATAAAAACACACAATGTCTGCTCCAGTAACATTTTTGAAAACAGAAAAATAGTTCTGGTGGAGCCAGATATTAAGATTCCTTTGAAGCTCTAAGGACTGTGGCTTATTCCAAATAAATATTGAGTCAATAGCAGAATGAAAATTCAAACTTAGCTGCCCTGACTCCATGACTAGGGTTCTATTAACTAGAACTTGATACTACTGGCCGCCCAAACTATCCAGTTGACAAGCACAGAAATAACAGCCTCTCAGCCTATTTCTCATCTAAGATTAAAGTTTGCGGAGCTCTGTGAACATTGTCAACATTTACTTTCACCTCAAATATCACCCTTTCCGTTCCGTTTCCTGTCCTCCTTACGGTCTTACATAATTCTCTCTCCTACCTCCACCCTTCCTCTTACTTCAAAAGCTGCTTCTCACAAATACTGTATGAGGACACATTACAAAGTTGGTCATAAATGATGGACAGGTGAATCCATACACAGTTGGAAGATGGATTTTCCTGGGTAGCTGTGCTTCTGATTTGGAACCTGTTAGAACAAAATAGAATGAGGTAATTAAAACACACATAAAGAATACAGTCTACACAATGCTCAAATAAATTGGTAAGGGTATTGATGAAAAGAGTTCTGAAGTGTTTATATTACTGAAAAAGGAACTTGGACTTTAGATTGTATTGATTTTCAAATGATAAAAGAAAAATCTCCTTTATTGAGGCAGAAAAATGATTCTGTTTTTTTCAAGAAATATTACTCATTGTAAGGCCAGATGTGGTGGCTCACACCTGTAATCCTAGCACTCAAGGAGGCTGAGGCAGGTGGATTGCCTGAATTCACAGGTTGGAGACCAGCCTGAGCCAGAGCAAGACCTTGTCTCTAAAAACAGCTGGGTGTTGTGGTGGGTGTCTGTAGTCCCAGCAACTTGGGAGGCTGAGGCAAGAGAATCACTTGAGCCCAAGAGTTTGAGGTAGCTAGGAGCTGTGACACCACAGCACTGTACCAAGGGCAACAAAGTGAGACTCTATTAGTTCTACAGGTACTTTAAATGATATCAAACATACTATCAAAAATAATCAAGATATGAATATAAATCAACATGAATTAAAAATCAGAGAAAATTGAGCTGCAATACTCAATTTACAATGGTCAAAATGTGGAAACAGCTTAAATGCTCACCAACCCAGAAATGGATTAATAAGCTATGGTATATGTATACCATGGAATACTATTTAGCCATTAAAAAGATGGAGACTTTACATCCTTTGCATTAACCTGGATGGAAGTGGAACACATTCTTAGTAAAGTATCACAAGAATGGAGAAGCAAGAATCCTATATACTCCACACTGATATGAGGACACTTAATGATCTGGTACATGGTGGGGGATAGGAGAAGGGGAGAATAGAGAGAGGGAAGGAGGGAAGGGGATGGGGGGTCATGGTGTGTTACTCACCTTTTGGGGGGTGGGACACAATTTTATAAGAGATACTTTACCTAACAAATGAAATCAATGAAAACTGGTTCTTTGTACCCTCAGTGAATCCCCAACAATAAAAAGAAAGAAAGAAAGAAGGAAAATAGAAACAGATAAATGTGAGATAAGACCTTGGAATAGTCAGACACTGATGCTAAAGTAATCATGGTTAGGGTGTTCTAGAAGTTAAATGACAATACTGAGAATGCTGAGAGAAAAATGGGAATTATAAATGGTGACAGATTGTAGAAATAACCAAGCTAAAACTGTAAAACTGAAAATTCACCAAATAAAATTTAAAACTGAATGTTGACTTTTAATGGTAGATTAGCCATAGAAAAGGCAAAATAGATGAACTGGAAGATACACAAGAAGCAAATACAGTTTAATCTTGAACTACCCAAGTCCACTTATCTGTGGGTTTTTTCAATAGAATCTACAGAAAAATTTTTGATGATTTGCAACAATTTGAAAAACTCACAAATAACTGCAAAGCCTAGAAATGTGAAAAAGTTAAGGAAAAGGTTAGGTTCAGGAATTCATAAATTATGTATGGATACTAATCCATTTTGTCATTTACTAACATAATACAAGATCATACAATAAAGTTTGTGAATTTATCCTAGAAAAAGTACCAGTACCTCATTGCTGAATATCACTATAGTCACCTCTGAAGTACTCCCCTTAGCCATCTGGTGACCATAGTGATATTCAGCAATGAGGTATGAAGTACTGGTACATACACAAATCTATTAAAAAAACTAAAGCTAAAACTTATAAAAACTTATGTACACACAGACTGTAAGCGACCTTATTGACACCTGAGAGAATTGTAAACAAATGTAAAGATGCAGTATTAAATCATAACTATATCACATTTACTGTAGCATATATTACTTTAAGAAAGGCACATCTGGTGCCTGTCGTTCTAGCTACTGGGGAAGCTGAGGCAAGAGAATTGCTTAAGCCCAGGAGTTTGAGGTTGCTGTGAGCTATGATGCCACAGCATTCTACTCAGGGTGACAGAGTGAGACTTCTGTCTCAATTAAAAAAGAAAAAAGAAAGAAGAAAGGCACATCTATAGACTCTAATATAATTTGAGAAAAAGTGAACTCAATTTATTTATTTATTTATTTTTTGGAGACAGAGCCTCAAGCTGTCGCCCTGGGTAGAGTGCCGTGCACAGCTCACAGCAACCTCCAACTCCTGGACCCAAGCAAGTCTCCTGCCTTAGCCTCCCAAGTAGCTGGGACCACAGGCACCCGTTACAATGCCCGGCTATTTTTTGGTTGCAACCATCATTGTTGTTTGGCGGGCCCAGGCTGGATTCAAACCTGCCACATTAGGTGTATGTGGCTGTCGCCTTAGCCACTTGAGCCACAGGCGCCGAGCCAAGTGAACTCAATTTAATGAAAAAGCAAGGTAGAGGATCTAAACCTGGGTAATTTATTAATGCCTAGATAATAGGACAAGCAGTTTTTGCAAACCAAGAGGCAGCAGATGAGTTCCCAGACATCATTAAGAGAATCATTAAGAAGAGATATCTGCCTTCACGCATTTTCAATACAGACTAAAGAGCCCTATTCTGGGGGCGGGGCGGGGGGGAAGTTGTCCTAAAGGACATTTATTACTAAGGAAGAGAAGCAAACACCAGGATTTAAGGCCAGAAGGGATAAGCTAAGTCTACTGTTTTGTGCAAATGCAGTTGAGTTTATGTCCAGGACTGCCCTCATCTATAAAGCAATTAAGTCCTTGATGGAAAAAGATGAACATAAGCTACTAGTTTGGGGTAGCACAACATGAAGGTCTGGATAACAATTCAGAAAAAAATATTTTTCCTGAATTGATTCCATTGATGTGTTGTTCACAAAGTCAGGAAATACCTTGCCAAGAGGGGATTGGTTTTCAATGTTCTTTTGAAATTGGACATTGCCCCTCATCATCCAGAACCCCATGAGTTCAATGCTGAAGATGCTGAAGTGGTCTGCTTGACTTCAAACACAATGTCTCTAATTCAGCCTGTAGACCAGAAGGTCATAAGGACCTTTAAGGTCATTACACATAGTACTCTATAGAAAAGATTCCCAATGCTATGGAAGAGGACCCTGATAGAGGGATCATCATGGAAGTCTGGAAAGATTACACCTTTGAAGATGCCAATATCATTATAAAAAAAGTTATGAAGGCCATCAAGCCCAAAATAGTAAATTCCTGCTGAAGAAAACTGTGTCCAAATGTTGCATATGTTGCAATTCCAACAGAGCCAACCAAGGCAATCATGAGAGATTTTGTGGATGGGGCAAAAAAGGTGGGATGGGAAGAGTGTCAAGACATGGATCTTAGAGAAATTTAAAGCTTATGGACACCACACCAAAAGAAGCCACAGAAGATAACTTAATGGAAATGAGTACTTCCAAACCAGTATCAGACAACTCAGAAGTGTGCCAGAAAACAAATTGACACTAGACAGTCTGTTGGAATTGTTCCTATTACTCAAGACCGCTTTGGATGTCTTTCACAACATGAACTCTTCTGTGAGACAGGCACTGACACTAAAGCAAGTGGTGGAAGAAAGATTGGCACTGTACAGAATATTTTTAAAGAAATGAAAAACCAGAAAGTCAGACAGACATTGTGATCTATTTTGTGTAAAGTTACACCAAGTGCTTCCGCCTTCTACTTCCTCTACCTCCTCCATCTGTACCACCCCTGAGACAGTAAGCCCAACGCCTCCTCTTCCTCCTTCTCCTACGCTACCCATTGTGAAGACGATGAGGATGAAGGCCTTTATTATGGCCCACTTCCACTTAATGAATACTAAATATATTTCCTATTCCTTATTTTCTTTTATTATTTTATTTTAAGACAGAATCTCACTCTGTCTCCCTGAGTAGAGTGCCATCACATCATAGCTCATGGCAACCTCAAACTTTTGAGCTCAACTGATCCTCTTGCCTCAGCCTCCCAACTAGCTGGGACTACAGGCACCTGCCACAATGCTGGGTTAGTTTTCCTATTTTCAGTAGAGACAGGGTCTCACTCTTGCTTAGGCTGGTCTTGAACTGCTGAGCTCAGGCAATCCCCCTGCCTCAGCCTGACAGAGTGCTAGGATTATAGGCATAACATTTCCTTCTCTTCTAACTTACTTTTGTTATTGTAAGAATGCAGCATATAATATACATAGCATGCAAAGTATGTGTCAATCAACTGTTTATGATATTGGTGAGGCTTCCAGTCAATAGTAGGCTATTAATAGTTAAGCTTTTAAGTAGTCAAAAGCTACATGTTATAATTTATAGAGTAATAAGTATAACAGTAAATTCAAAGTTAAAAGAAGAAAAAAATGAATAATAAAAAATATTAAATCAGATCCAAAGAAGTAAAGAAAAGAAAAAGTAACACTGAGTGGAAGATATAACAATTCTAAATCTTTATGTGCCTAACAACGTGGCTTCAATACATTAAATGAAATGTTTACAGACTGTAAGTAAAATCCCAGTGGGAGATAGTAATGCAATTCTCTTAGAATGGAAAGAAGTAAAAAATCAGAGAACTGCAATCCCATGGAGTATGCCCTGTGATCTCTGTGGAACTAAGCCTGAAATCTGAAACAAAGAGATAACTAGAAGCATATGTTTGTAAATTAAGAAATAAATTTTTAAATAAGTCACAGTCGAAGAACAACTCACAGTAGAAATCTATAAGTACAGTAGAACTTCATAGTTGACCACCTGCTTAAGTTGACCTAATTCTCATAGACTGGACAAGCACCACATGTGGTATCGGTACAATAGGCCTAGTTCCGGCTCACTGCCTGTGGCTCAAGCAGCTAAGGTGCCAGCCACATACACCTGAGCTGGCAGGTTCGAATCCAGCCCGGGTCCGCCAAACAACAATGATGGCTGCAACCAAAAAATAGCCGGGCATTGTGGCAGGCACCTGTGATCCCAGCTACTTAGGAGGCGGAGGCAGGAGACTCACTTGAGCCCAGGAGTTGGAGGTTGCTGTGAGCTGTGATGCCATAGCACTCTACCCAGGGTGACAGCTTGAGGCTCTGTCTCAAAAAAACAAAACACAAACAATAGGCCTAGTTCCTTATCTTGCCCACCTCCCTAAGTTGACTAGTTTGTTTCCATCCCTTGGGTAGTTACTTAAAGAGGTTCTACTATATTTTGAACCAAATGACAGTGAAATTGCATTGAAATTATAGTTTTAAATTCAAATACTTGAGTAAAAGAAAGACTGAAGTTCATGAGTCAAACATTTTTTTTTTTTTTTTTTGAGACGGAGCCTCAAGCTATCCCCCTGGGTAGAGTGCCATGGCATCATGCTCACAGCAACCTCCAACTCCTGGGCTCAAGCGAGTCTCCTGCCTCAGCCTCCCAAGTAGCTGGGACTACAGGCGCCCGCCACAACGCCTGGCCATTTTTTGGTTGCAGCCATCATTGTTGTTTGGCGGGCCCGGGCTGGGGATTCGAACCCGCCACTTTAGGTATATGTGGCTGGCGCCTTAGCCGCTTGAGCCACAGGCGCCGAGCCATGAGTCAAACATTTAACACAAGTTTGAGATAGAATGGCAAATTCAACACAAAGAACTAGGTGGAAAAAAGCAATAAAGATGAAAATCATAAATCATAATTAATGAAAGAAATAATAAAAAGAGATGAGAGAATCAACAAAGTCAAACATAATTTTTTTTAAAGACTAGTTAAATGAAACCTACTGAGATTGATGAAAAAATAGAAATAGACACACACGTGCACACACATATGCATACACACTAATAATAGGTACTCCAAAGGGGGTATAATTTCATATTATGAAGACATTAAAAATAAAATGAATGAAAACTGTAATGAAGAAGACTTCAAAACACAATAAGGGAGAATTTATAATCATGCAAATGTGAAATATGCTTAAAATAGCTTTAAAATGCAATATGTGGTTGCTTTTTAACTTGATAATAGTATTACACTCCAAGTTTTAGACACTGCATTAAATCATTTTATTTTATTTCTTTATTTATTTTGAGACAGAGCCTCAAGCCATCACCCTGGGTAGAGTGCCATGGCATCA